AATGATCTATTGGTCTCCATTAAATCATCATTAAACCCAATGATGTATTGGTCTACATTAAATCATCATTAAACCCAATGATGTATGGGTCTCCATTAAATCAACATTAAACTTTATGATGTATTGGTCTCCATCAAATCAGCATTAAACCCAATGATGTCTTATTATTCATAAAATCAACATTAGATCTCGTGATGTCTCGTTCTCCATCAAATCAACATTAGATCTCGTGATGTCTCGTTCTCCATCAAATCAACATTAGATCTCGTGATGTCTCGTTCTCCATTAAATCACTAAGAAACCTCGAGACGTCTAGTTGTTCCCCTCCCCCCAAATTAATAGGAAACCCCATGGTGTCTTGTTCCTTCAAAAGTCAGTAAGAAACCCCGTGATGTATTCTTCTCCATAAAATCAATATAAAACCTCGTAACATATTGTTCTTCAACAAATCAATATACAATTTAGTGATTTTTCGTTCTACATCAGATTTTTATATCTCATGATATCTCGATCTTCATCAAATCAGTGTGAAACCTAGTGATCTCTTGTTCTTTATCAAATCAATGTGAAACCTGGTAATCTTGATCTTTATCAAATCAATGTGAAACCTGGTGATCTCTTGTTCTTTATCAAATCAATGTGAAACCTGGTGATTTTTGTGCTTTACCAAATCAGTGTGAAACCTGGTGACATCTCGTTGTTCTTTACCAAATCAGTGTGAAACCTGGTGATCTCTTTTTCTCTATCAAATCAGTGTGAAACCTCGTGACATCTCGTTGTTCTTTACCAAATTAATATGAAACCCCGTGAAGTCTTATCTTCCCCAATCATTTTATGATACTTTGTTTTATGAATTAAATGAGTCGCTTTTTTTTAGAGTTTGGTGAAAATGTACTTGTGATAATTTATTTTTTATCCCTCAGCCTTTATTTTCTGTTAGTAGTACCGTCATTGCAATATGCTTGTGCTGCCCTCTACTGAGAACGTTATCAATGTGTGCTGTTTAAAATCAATGGTGTTTGGTTAGGTTATTTAAAGTACATTCCTAAAAATATTTTCTGCTTGATTGTTGACATTAATCAATAATCGTACCAAGTTAGGAACACTGTTTCGTGGAAATGAAACACGTGTTGTCGATATAAGAAAAGTAACTTATTTTGGTGTCGATATATATATTAGTAATTGTCTTACGTCTCACTATATTTTGAAATATCACTTACGTGTCACAACACCCCTTGAGGGGTGTTGTTAGTTGTTGATGAGGGGTGTTGTTAGTTACTGATGAGGGGTGTTGTTAGTTATTGATGAGGGGTGTTGTTAGTTGTTGATGAAGGGTGTTGTTAGTTGTTGATGAAGGGTGTTGTTAGTTGTTGATATCAACAACTAACAACACCCTTCATCAACAACTAACAACACCCTCATCAGTAACTAACAACACCCCTCATCAGTAACTAACAACACCCCTCATCAACAACTAACAACACCCCTCATCAGTAACTAACAACACCCCTCATCAACAACTAACAACACCCTTCATCAACAACTAACAACACCCTTCATCAATAACTAACAACACCCCTCATCAGTAACTAACAACACCCCTCATCAGTAACTAACAACACCCCTCATCAACAACTAACAACACCCTTCATCAACAACTAACAACACCCTCATCAGTAACTAACAACACCCCTTATCAATAATTAATGCCACCCCTTATCGATAACTAACAACACCCCTTATCAATAATTAATGCCACCCCTTATCGATAACTAACAACACCCCTTATCAATAATTAACACCACCCCTCATCGGTAACTAACAACACCCCTTATCAATAATTAACACCACCCCTCATCGATAACTAACAACACCCTCATCAGTAACTAACAACACCCCTTATCAATAATTAACACCACCCCTCATCGATAACTAACAACACCCCTCATCAACAACTAACAACACCCTCGTCAGTAACTAACAACACCCCTCATCAACAACTAACAACACCCTCGTCAGTAACTAACAACACCCCTCATCAACAACTAACAACACCCTCATCAATAACTAACAACACCCCTCATCAACAACTAACAACACCCTTTATCAACAACTAACAACACCCTCATCAGTAACTAACAACACCCCTTATCAATAATTAATGCCACCCTTCATCGATAACTAACAACACCCCTTATCAATAATTAACACCACCCCTCATCGATAACTAACAACACCCCTCCTGTATAATATTAGGGAAAAGTTAGTTAGTGTTGAATGGATTATAACATCTTCCTAAGCTCATTATTTAATGTCTGTGGTGCACATTGGTGTATAGAAGACATTTTAATACTGGAAATAAACAACCTTACAGCACCAAATTATTGTTTCTCTTTAATTGGACACTCGACGTCTCGCTTTACAGCTTCCTCAGGAACGTTTCACTAAAATACAAACCGTTACTAACTGTACGAAGCTTCAAATAGGTTCGAATATAATTCAATATTTAAACTACTTGAAGATATGTACTGTCGGTTTATGTTTTAGTGAAACGTTCCTGAAGAAGCTGCAAAGCTAGACGTCGAGTATCGTCCAATTAAAGAAAAACAACAATTTGGTGTTGTAAGGTTGTTTATTTCTGGTTGTAATATATATTTCTAAGCTGTTTTATTTTTTCAGTTTGATACGTTACTGTTGTTTTGTATTTCTTCTCTGTGTCAGAAATACCATGAATCTTATTTAAATACCGAAACAAACACACACACCCCCCTCCCACGGTAACTCAGCGAAAAGCTTATAGAGCTCACAACATTTCTATGCTTCACAACTAATGATAAAAAACAAAACATGTAAAATCAGTGATCCAGATATATATATACGATTTAAAAACATCCAAAGTAAAACTCGATTATAATACTTTTAGATCTAGTGGTAAATACAAAAAAACAAGAAGTAATGACGTCACTGCTGTTAATTCTAAAGAAATACATATTAAGTCTATTTCTAACGAAATACATATTAAGTCTAATTCTAACGAAATACATATTAAGCCTAATTCTAAAGAAATACATATTAAGCCTAATTCTAATATTTATGTTAGAGCTCTATAATTATATATTTTTAATTTCAATAGTTGTAGTCATTACTTGTCATAAAAATCAAATGATAGGCTTAATATGTATTTCTTTAGAATTAGGCTTAACTAAATCTTATGAGAGTTAATCACAAGAGTTTCTCATCTGATAAAAAAATGATGAAAAGTCTAATTTTCTCCGGTATAGTTGATCTTCTCTCACGCATCATCTTTTTTTTAATGTATCTAGGTTTCGCTAGGCCTTCATATATAAAGGCAAAAGTCGCCAACAAAGGGGCGTGCAAGTCTTTTTGGAGAACAGAGAAAAGAATAAGGTACGTGTTTTATATTCTACCAGCATTGTAAGCACTCTTGTACACTTGAAGTACTTAATACGAACGAAATATCGCAACCAGTAACTATTGTTGGTCAGTAACTTTTGCTTCGACTCTAATAAAGAAATATTAATTTGTTTATATTCTTTTTACGATATTTCGTATTTAAAGAACGTACAATTCATTGGAATATGATTAAATGACGTTTATTGGTTACCTCGTAGGAAATACTGATTTGTCCTTCTATGTGGCTAACTGGTAAATTTGAGGGTTTTTAACTAAAGAATTTAGGACTCGATCCCCGTGGTGCACACAGATCAAATAGCTAATTATGTAGCATTCTAATACAACAAATAAACATTAATTGATACTTGAAACCGTCGGTAGTTGACGAAACTCAATAATTACAGAATTGAGGAAAAAGGCAAAGACAGTTTTTTGTGTGAAACGTACAGTTGTCTTTTTTTTTCAATTCAGTCGAGTAAATATTGATTTATTTATTATTATAAATATTTCTCATAAATGATTAAACTTCTTCATCAGATATTTCATTGTAAGATTGGTTAAGTTTAGCTGTGATTGAGCACAATGTTACAGAATGGGCTATGTATGCTGTGCCCATCACAGGTATTGTTTTTTTTTATTTCGCGCAAAGCTACACGAGGGCTATCTGCACTAGCTGTCTCTAACTTAGCAGTGTAAGACTAGAGGGAAGGCAGCTAGTCATTACCACCCACTCTTAGGCTACTCTTTTACCAACGAATAGTGTGATTGACCGTCATGTTATAATGCCCCCACAGCTGAAAGGGCGAGCATGTTTGGTGGGACGGGGTTTTGAACCCGTAACCCGCAGATTACGAATCGAGCACCTTAACCACTTGGCCATGCCAAGCCGCACAGGTATTGAAACCCGACTTTTAGTGTCGTTAGTCTGCAGACTTACTGCTGAGCCACTGAGGGCTTACTGCTAGATATAGCATTCAAATATTCATTTAAAAAATCATATCTTTCAATCGGTCATGCACGAAAAGATTATAAGAATAGTTTTTTGGTATTTTGTTGATTGTTAGAATTTTTTATATGTTTCCCCATTTCAAGCATTATCAAAATTGCTCTGTAGAAGAAAACAAATCATTGAAGCTTTCCTTTAATATTTATCTGGCAATTTACATTTAATGAAAATTAATTGGGGTCCAGTAATAATAACACAATTTATAAATCTGTATCGACCAAAGGAAACGATCTTATACAGAGTACCTTTAAGCTATTTAATACCTATTAAATTTGCTTTCATATTACACAGTTTGGGGTATTGACACAGCATTGGCAGGAAATACACACTCAAAACTTCATTCACTCCGTTAATGCTTAGTTCCTGATCTTATGTTATTCATCCAAGTTTATATTGAATTAATAGTTTAGCTCTGTGTTTACTTACTGATTATAAGTATTGATTTATTACAGGATACAGATCTTACAGTACCTCAAGTATTCTTTTATTACAAGATACGGGTCTTACAGTATCTTAAGTATTCTTTTATTACAAGATACAGGTATTACAGTACCTTAAGTATTCTTTTATTACAAGATACAGGTATTACAGTACCGTTACAAGATACAGGTATAACAGTACCTTAAGTATTGTTTTATTACAAGATACAGGTCTTACTGTACCTTAAGTATTGTTTTATTACAAGATACGGGTATTACAGTACCTTAAGTATTGCTTTATTACAAGATACAGGTCTTACAGTACCTTAAGTATTGTTTTATTACAAGATACGGGTATTACAGTACCTTAAGTATTGTTGTATTACAAGATACGGGTCTTACAGTACCTTAAGTATTGTGTTATTACAAGATACAGGTCTTACAGTACCTTAAGTATTGTTTTATTACAAGATATAGGTATTACAGTACCCTATTTTCAAAACATTCTTCCTTACTGTATAAAGCTGTATTCTGTAATAAAATAATACAAGTTTTAAGGCAGAACATTCGTACTCAGGTGCATAAGCTTCATAAACCAGAACGAAATACAACAAATATTAGAATACACGTTTGGAGAAAAGATCGGAAGAAAAGTTATAATAACCGAGGAAAAAAATAAAAACAGTGACATAATAAACGAATAAAATGTTCGTTTTATAAACATTAAAATAATGTTAATCTTAGGATTCATTACGATACATTTTTAAGTTATAGCTGTACAACAATACAAGTAACCATGGGAACGGTATATAAACAAGTTACCATGGCAACAGTATATAAACAACCGGCTTTAGACGCACTCTGAAAAGTACCTCAGTAATTAGAAAATATAACTTAATCTGCACTAGATTAATTGTGTAGCTAGAGCCCTGAATGTGCGTGTATAAACTTATAAAGTAAAAATAGTATGGTAACAAAAATCAAAAACCGAAGAAAAGGAGTAATCGAGTAATAAAAGGTTAAAATTTGTTTCAATTGAAAAGGAGTAAACGAGTAATAAAATTTGCTTCAATTGAAAAGGAGTAATCGAGTAATAAAAGGTTAAAATTTGCTTCAATTGAAAAGGAGTAATCGAGTAATAAAAGGTTAAAATTTGCTTCAATTGAAAAGGCAATTGAAGCAAATTTTAACCTTTTATTACTCGTTTACTAACCTATAAGAAAGAATACCTTTAATTCATGTCGTTGGTTGTTAGGTAACTAAGTTTGTACATAATTTCATGTTCGTCCGTTTGTGGCGCTGATTTAACCTCCGAAGCATGATGTAATGCTCCTGAGGAAGGACACCCTATCCGAAACGTCGTGCATATAAATATTTGTTTCCAAGTGTTAATAATATTACGCTGTCGCTTATTTTATGCCATTTCCTACCACAGAATTAAAAAAAAATTATACTATGTTAACCCTTAGTTTTATTTTTAAGGCACAGTTTAACGTATCAAATTTCTATTAATATGATAACATTTACTCTGCACCTCTAAAAGTTCTTCCTATGTGCTGTTGTTGTTGTTTCTAATTAAGCACAAAGCTACACAATGGGCTATCTGTGCTCTGCCCACCACGGGTATCGAAACCCGGATTCTAGCGTAGTAAGTCCGCAAACTTTATATTTAAAACCTAAGTTTCAATGAACTTATATTTATCTTTTCAACTTTCAGTTTCTCAGGACTGATTAAATGTGCCACACAATTTTCAAGTAATGTCTCATTGATCTGACGTTAATTACGACTCACTCCAGGAACACCGTTTCGGCGTTTCACCTTCGTCGGGGAGCTTTGAAAATGGAGTGTTTTATGATAGTAAAGGTGAAACACCGAAACGTTATTGCTTGAGTTAGTCGTAATTATAGTTTGATCCAAGAAGAACATTCTCAGCACACTATACAGTTGGTATTACGAAACCTAAGAAGTACATATCGAAATTGCTTTTTCTGTATTTCTTATTGACCTTCTGTAACCTAGTAACGGAAATCATTATGTTTGTTGTCTGCCATGAATGAAAGCATTTTTAAAAGCGTGAACCTTTTGATATCTAAAAAATGTGAAGCGTTTTTGTTTAGAATATTGTTGATCGTTTTACAAAGAAAAGTGTGATCCTTATTTTCAATATCCAATGACAATATCATCGACGTATCTATTTCCGATATACCAAAATCAAGATGAACTCTGCACCTTTCATAATATTCATAGATGTTAGTGGTAATTTATTGGCTGTTATTACGCGATATTATAATTAATGATATTGTCTGGTTTTGTCATCATAGTTCGCGAAACAGTTGTTTATTTCAAGAAGCCCAGTTTTTCCTTTCTTTGTTTTACTTTTTTTTTATTGAAATAACAAAAGTCTGGTTTGTCAAATTCAGGAGATATAAATTAAACGAGTCCAGCAAGTGTTTGCCCTTTCAATTCACAACAACAAAAAATGTAAAAGTTACTTGAATTAATTGGTTCAACTATTCAAAACAACTAAATATAATAACACAATGTGATATTTTATCATTGGTATTTTTTTTCCGTTTGTAGGTTTTTTATTCGTCACCTTGTAAAAACACAAGTATTCTATTGGTTTGTGATTGTGCTGGTGTTTCTTAACACTGTTTGCGTAGCCATAGAACACTACAACCAGCCAAAATGGCTGACGATCTTTTTATGTAAGTATACACGTTTTTTGTACAGTGACTTGGTTACCTGGTATTATAATTTGTTTAATTGGAAGAATACTGTCTTGTAGTGTTTAAGAAAAAAAAGCCATTTCTCTTTTACCAAGTTTGCCTGTGTGACTTCATAAAACAAAAATCGAATGTTTGATGTGCAATCGACTTGTGCAAAGTATCAAGTACTTTTTGATGTAAATTGTAAGGCTAAACATTGAGGTATGCCTAAATTTTCTCATTGATGTAAGCCTCAATTTCCTCATTGATGTAAGCCTAAATTTCCTCATTGATGTAAGCCTAAATGTCCTCATTGGTGTAAGCCTAAACTTCGTCATTGATGTAAGTAAGCCCAAACTTCCTCATTCAGTCATTGATATAAGCCTAAGTTTCCTCATTTGGTGTAAGCCTAAACTTTTTCATTTTCGTAGTGAACACAGTATGTGGTTCGATAAAACTATCATTATTATTACATTCAATCAAAGACTAGCGATTTTGTGACAAAATAATAAAGTTGTTTTGTTCTTAAAAGTTTGATGTCATATTTGGTTAATTTGTCAATTGGATGCTTGAGATATTTATTAAATCATCCTAAGGATCTGCTATTCTAACGTCGAAACATTGCTGCAAATAACTTGTATCCCGAAATTATTGTTATTTATCACAAATGTGGTTAACCAAAACATTCTCCTTTTAATTAACTTATCTATTTAAATCACATTAAAAAATATATGATATTGTTTATTTTTCTGTCATTCGAACTGTAGCAATGAAATTTATCCTTTAAATAACCATCATTAATGATTTTAATTTAATTTGTTTTTGGTTTTTTTAGATTGGGCAGAATTTGTATTTCTGGGACTCTTCATCTTTGAAATGTTTATGAAGATGTACGCCTTAGGCCCCCGGATCTATTTTGAATCCTCCTTTAATAAGTTTGACTGCGTAGTAAGTATCGTATAATATGAAATACCATCACGTGAACAAGGAAGGGTTTACATGTATTTAGTTCGTCTTTAAATCATGCAATGACGTCAGTCAGTTAATTTTGTTACACCTAAACACTCTGTAGACACTTAGACCATACTTGTTTCAAAGTTGGAAAACAAAACTGTACCAGTTACAGGTTTATCTTATATTGGAAAAGATTCTTGTATAAGCCTAATAAGACCTCCATCTTTTTTCAGGTCATTGCTGGTAGCATATTTGAGGTGGTTTGGTCCAGTGTTCGAGAAGGATCCTTTGGTTTTTCTGTACTAAGAGCTTTAAGATTACTCAGGATATTCAAAGTTACCAAGTAAGTTTCTATTTAACCACAAATGAAATATTAGGGAGATCTTAAAAGATAAACAATTAGTTTGAAAGATTCTTTGTGCCTTGGGAACAGAAAGGACAAAATATTCATCAATATTCTTTAGATGAGTGTTAGCTAATTTATTAATTATAAGGTCTATAAAAAACAACAAAAAAAATTATTTACTGTTGGTAAATACATTGCGTTTGATTGCTATTAAGCACGCCCCCCAGTAGCACAGCGGTATGTCTGCGGACTTACAACGCTAGAATCCGGGTTTCGATACCCGTGGTGGGCAGAGCACAGATAGCCCATTGTGTAGCTTTGTGCTTAAATCAAAAAACAAACAAGCTATTAAGCACAAAGATACACAATAGGCTTTCGGTTTTCTGCCCATCACGGGTATCGAAACCATATTTTTAGAGTTATAAGCCCTCAGACTTGCTGCTGAGCTACTGGGGGCAATACATTATGTTTAAATTAATACGTGAAACGATAAATGTACGGTTACAAAACTATTTTTGTAAGGAAACTGGACAATTAAATTTTAAAAAAATGCAATCAATTACATAAACTGTAGACGGTTACTTTAAATAGTCGGCTTTAAGCTTGTATTACTTGTTACTTTGATGATATAAATTAAACACTTATCAATAACGATCTAAAAGGAATTTCAAATAACAAAGTTTAACCTTTTTTATTATTTGTGTTGGTTATCAAACTTTATTGACACTTCACTAGAGGGCTAATTTTCGATTAATTTCGTAATTAATCTTTAAAAATCTACACTTCCTTTTATAAACATTTAAATGTTATTCAACTTTCCCTATAGTTATTCGATATTTTGCTTTCCACTGTTTACTGACATAATCTGTTCTTTGTAAAAACCCATGATATATTTTAGGTTTAACAACCTGTTCTTTGTAAAACCCGTGATATATTTTAGGTTTAACAACCCGTTCTTTGTAAAACTCATGATATATTTTAGGTTTAACAACCTGTTCTTTGTAAAAACCCGTGATATATTTTAGGTTTAACAACCCGTTCTTTGTAAAAACCCGTGATATATTTTAGGTTTAACAACCTGTTCTTTGTAAAACCCGTGATATATTTTAGGTTTAACAACCCGTTCTTTGTAAAACTCATGATATATTTTAGGTTTAACAACCTGTTCTTTGTAAAAACCCGTGATATATTTTAGGTTTAACAACCCGTTCTTTGTAAAAACCCATGATATATTTTAGGTTTAACAACCTGTTCTTTGTAAAAACCCGTGATATATTTTAGGTTTAACAACCTGTTCTTTGTAAAACCCGTGATATATTTTAGTTTTAACAACCTGTTATTTGTAAAACCCATTATATTTTAGTTTTAACAACCTGTTATTTGTAAAACCCGTGATATATTGTA